TCTATGCCCTCTTAAGGGATAGCTTCAGGTCTGTTAAGGCGACTATACTATAGCTAGTTGTATATATATCTAGTGTCGCCAAGTACCCACACTTTATAGCCCTCCTTAATTAGCTTATTCAGCAGCTTGACTTTATAAGAGCTACAGCCTCTATAAGCAAGCATTGCCTTATCTATAGCTAGATAAGAGCTTAGTTACTAATTATCTTTGTAATTTTGCTTAATAATAGTACTAATTAGCTCTACTTGCTAAGCAAAGGTCTTATAATCCTTACAAGGAGCAGTCGTACGCTCTTAAAGCGTAAAATATCAATGAATTTGCTTATATCTTGTTAGGCTTAAGAATGCGCCTAAATAACCTGACTCGCTCCAATATTCTTCATGTTTAGATAGCCTATAATATCCTATATAAAGCAAACAACTGATATATTGCCAGATATTAGTTGAATTGACTGGTTTCTAGGATCTAGAAAGGAATTCAAGATCTTCTTCTTCGTTGAAATCCGTATTTCGAGCATTTTCTGCGTAGCTATTCGTTAATTCAATGATTCTATCAATAATAGCTGGCGTAAGGAGTTATTAAAACGTATCAAGCTGTGAGAGACTTGTAGCTAGCGATTTGGACCGTTAAAATTGTAGAATAAGGGGTGGTTCGTACTCAGGGAGCTCAGGAAGTTTTTTCGTCTCTATTTTGAGCGCTTTTGGAAGCGGCCCCGCAGCGATAGGTTTGAGCGCTATTCGTTGCTCTGTTCGAGCAGTATTCTTCGTAACTTTTGGATCGCTAGCTGGATTAGGAGCTCCTTTGGCCTCCCATATAGTCTTGGGCTTTGGTATGCGTTTCGATCTGCGTAAATCCATGTCAGAAATCGACCCTAATGGTGAGATTCATCAAAAAGTCGAAAAGAGGTATGCCAAGACTCAAAATGCTTGGCACGCTAAAAAGGCACATTTAATCGACGGCGCATGGGATAGGTAGCAACGCTCAGACATACCACAATATTCGATTGATTCATCATCCAAAATCGTTGTTTGTCCCGTATCTGTGTATCGCATAATTGCAGAGTTGTGCTGTTCTTCCTGTTCCCGGTTCCTGCGACTTCGCCGGAGCACACCTATACCACCATTTGGCCTATATAACTCAAAGAAAGTGTCACTATTGTTAGAAGTAGTAGCAAACAGCGTACGGAGGTGCCAATTCACTTGATTGAGTTACTCCTATCAAGAGGAGCATTTGCTCATACTAATAGCTATAGAAGCGCATTACTGTAACAGCTCAGAAACAGCATTTGGCGTTCAATTCGTATAGCAATGCTCACTGCCATAAATAACAGGGCGTAACAGTTACAAGAGCGTTTCGTGCGTTTTGCATGCGGGGACCCTTGTACCATCATGCTAATACGTAACAGATACGTATCATATACGCAGGGATTCTGACAGCTATCAACGTTAAAGCGCGGACCCAAGCCGTCCGACTGGGTAATAGTGGTGTTATAAGAATCAGGTAACCCTTGCCAAATTTTGGCCCCTACCCTCTGGGGATGGCGCGGAGGGGCGCTGACTGCGTGCGCTATAAGTAAGGTGGATATCACCAAAATGCTACAGGCTCATTCGGGTGGTGTGCGTACAGAACTAAGCTAAGAAAACTCTGCCGTGTGGTATTTAACTAGTACGGCGTGGAGAAAACAACAGGCCCCCACACTATATCCCTTTTCCAGGCTAAGGCAACATTGCAATAGGCCTCAGCCCTCTATCCCTCCGGGTCTTATCCAATCTGAGGCTTCAGCATCCTCATCTCTACCCCCAAGAGAGAGCTCAGAACGACCCTCGGACTCAGCTACATAGTTTGTGCTGGCCGTAAAAGTCACACCTTACCTGGTCTCCCGACAAGGTATTTGACTGCCTCGTCGCTGAGACCCGACTCCCACACGCCAGACATAATAAGGGCGCGCCGTCTTATTCCATCTGGGTTTGAGAGCAGCGCACAGATCCTATCTACTCTACCCCCATCTTGTACCTTCTCGATTTTGGCTGGGTCGCTCAGCACCGTGACGATGGTCTTCAACGACTCGGAGACGCCTGAGAGGACCTTGTTAATATTCTCAGCTAAAATATCGGGTTTTGCAAGGTTTGTTTCCATGTCGTGTGGCTTAGCATCTGTAGTAGCTCGGGTCTTGCCCATGTCATCGACCTTGCTCGGATCTCCTGCCTTCTTCCTGGATTTGACGCGGTTAAAGAATCTCACGTTCAACTTGCCGGCCCTGGAGACGAACCAATTCCGCCTTTGAGCTTGCTCCTCCTGTAGCTGAAAGGCCGCAAAGACACAGGCTAAAAGAGGGCATCCGAACCCCTCGACCTCGACCGGCACCGCATTGCAGAACACACAATACGGCAGGAACAGTCCATCGTGCGTGAGGAGGCCCATCCTCTGCACCTGAATGGCTTGGACCAGGACCACCGCAATGTCCCCATACTCGGCCCGTCGTAGCTCTGAGATAGCCAATTCCGCTCTCTTGGCGTGGGCCAGAGAGACCCTGTTGATATGGTCGTTGAGAATGGTGACAACGCGCCCGCTATTATTGCCGTCATCACTGGTCCGTCTGATGGAGGGCGCAGAGTTGTCCGGGGGGTTGAGAAGTGGCAGAGTCGCGCCGTTGCTTGCTAGGCTGGCGAGATCGAAGGGACGCGAGCCATGACAGTCTTTGGCGTCGATGCCGAAGCCGGCGTCGATGAACATTTGGCACACTCTGGCGGTTGATGCAGCTGCAAAGTGTAGAGGCGTGAGACCGCGGTGGTCGATGTGTTCTGTCGGGTTGACCAGGCGGAGGATCTCGTTCTCTACGAAGCCGATGAAGGGCTGAAAATCATCCTTCCGCATCACCGACACCTCGGCTAAGAGATGCACTAGCGTCCGCCCAAAGATGTCTTGTATGGTCAAGATATCCTTGAGTTTGTCCTTGCCAGGTTCCTGGATCTTCAACCAGATCATGTGGAAGGTGTCGATCTGGCCAACAGTCAAAGTGCGATGCAAAATGGTGTATCCCAAACTATCCTGCGACATGATGTCATAACCAGTTTCTAGAAGGAGCTCGATCATTTTGTCCCGACCAGCCTCCATGGCGTTGTGAATCGGCGTTCGCTTGCTGTAGTCCTGGGAATGGACCATATCTGGCCATCTTTCTAGCAGCCACCTGGCCTCCTTTCCCATTCCTCGCAGAGCTAAGATGTGCAACGGGGATTCACCATCAAACATTGTCAACATTGGGTTGCCACCAGCCTGGATAATCTTCTCAGCCCAGGCTATCTGGCCCGCCTCCATAGCTGCCGCAAACGGTGTCTTTCCAGTCAAATCTCTTGCGTTCAAATTGGTCTTGGGATGGCGAAGAAGCAGTTCTAGTATGATCTGATCATGCCGTTCAGCGTCGACCGCCTTCTGCTCCTCCGAATCAACCCAGGTTATATCTCCATAGAGCCATTTCATCTTCCCACTAGTGGTGCTGAACCCTTCGATGAAGTCGTGCAGGGGTGTCATCCCAATCGTTTGCACATTTGGATCGGCGCCGGCGTCGAGCAGCGCGGCTACGAACAGTGGTCGTCTGAATTGCACCGCCACCTGCAGTGGGTTGTATTGACCGAAGCACGGTGAGTTGATATCGACGCCGATGCTGACGAGCTCCGCGAAAGTTGACCAGGAATTCTTGGCAATAGCAATAAAGATAGGTGAGGCGGTCCTAGGACCGATCTCAGTGTCATATTCCTTCTTGCTAAAGTCAAATGTCTGGATGTCTCGGTATTTCAGCGAGGGCTTCGACCGCGGCGCTGCGTACTCCTCTTTTACCACGAGAAGAAAGCTTATGGACTCCATTTTTCCACTGTCGATGCACTCCTTTACAAAACCGAATTCGAAAAGCGAGCATGGGTCTGCGCCCAAGGTAAGCAGAGTGGCCGCAGCGTCCAGATTGCCCTGGTAACAGGCAAGCTGGACAGGCATCATCAGGTTATCGCAGATGATGAGCGGTTGGTTGAGATCGACGGCCTCCTGCTCGACGAGATACGCTAAGATGTTGGGGAGGTGCTGCTCGATAACCAACAACATGAGGTTCTGTGTTCCCTTTGCGGTGTCCAAGCTAATCTGTTCCGGCAAGGCCTTCTTCTCAAGGAGTTGTCTGAAGACCCGCACGTCATCCCGTCGGATGGCTTGAGCAATCCTGTTCCAATCTGGGTCGTGCTGGGGATCGGAAGGTGGCCGTGAGTACAAAATATTTCGTGACCAGTGGATTGCATGAGCCACGTACGCGAGTCTGTAGGCAGAGTGCCACAACCTGAGAATCCTGAGTTGAGCTTCCTCTAAGAACACCCCAACCAGCTCGTCCAAAAGCTGGCGAAAGCTATCGCTCAACGCATGCTTCCCCGAGCGTTTTTCGAATCCGTAGAGATCGAGGCAGAGGCCGCTAAGAATCACCTCACACTCGGCCTTCGGGTTCAAAACAGTGGGCGGGTCTTGTCCGTGCCCGTAGTGCATGCTTGCCAAGACCTTTGAACGGATGCTGATGGTTTCGGGGTCGTCAGTCGGTCGTGTCGCCCATGACTTCATCTCTTCCAGAAGGACAGGGCGCATAGAGGGAGCTTCTGTCGACGGATACCCGGAAGAATAAAGTTCAAGCGACCGAAGAGCTGATTCCAAAATGGGAGTCGTGGATTTCTTCATCTCTGAAACAATGCTACGCCTCAGAGCCGCCGTCATAGTTGGCGACAACTCGCCGAACACGCGGTTAGCAGTATATCCTGGAGCGGCATGGCGGTTCTGTTGGAAAGTTAGTTGCGCGGGTAACAGGATAGAAGAAGGGACATGCGTTGATGCCCATCCACCCAGTTCGCCGCGAAGACGATGAAACATCTCTCCAGGTGCTCCGTGTGGCGGTGCTTCGATGAGGGTCAATCCTGGGGACCAAGTTTAGCTTATGAAACCCGGTGAGGAAGGTTTACCAGCTTTGGGGAGAGAATGGCCAAAAATACTCGCAAATTCCAATGAGTGAGACTGACCAGAGCAGCTCGAACCACTCGTGTGTGCGACCTCTTTCGGATGGATCCCTGGCGAGAATGCGAGGTAGAAGAGTGACAGCGTAGGGAAGATACCCTCTTGCGGGCCTCTCATCGAGTAACCATGATGCCTGACATTTTGATTAACAAATCAGAGAGCCTTGGACTCTCTTGTTACCACGAAACATGGTCGTCAGCGTTCGAAGAGAAAGCTATATACTCACATGCTGCCTCCATAATAGCTCATCCACAACGCCAACGAAGACATTCGGATTGTATGGGTTGTCCGGCTGCGTATTGTCTGAAGCGCCAAGGTATTGGTGCAATGCCTCTCCCCAACCGGCTTTCAGATCTAGACCAAGACGCCCAGAGGCAGCACAGAAGAATTCGGATGCCTCTGAAGCAGCTCCATCCAGTATCTTGGTCGCATTCACCGTCTCGTACGCTCCAGCCCAGTCAGAACCACGATCGGGACCAAATGGCAATCGTGAAGCCACGATATACCAAGCAACAAGACCAAAAGAGTAGAGATCTCGAGAAGGCTGACGGCAGGTTCTCAAGCCGGCATTTGGATTAATGCATTCCGGCGCGTTCCAGTAGTCTGTCCCTCCGGCCGGATTTCCCTCGACTCCGAAAGGCCACTTCTCGACGTCATCTGAGAAGCCAAAATCAGCAAGCTTCGCTGTATACCTATCCCCAGGGCTCTGGCGGAATATGAGAACATTCTCCGGCTTCAAATCACCATGGATAAAGCGGTCACGGTGTATGGCGTCCAAGCCGCTGAGGATATCAGATATCAGAAAACCCTTGAGCTCGAAGTTGAGCGGATCAACGATCGGGATAAGGTCATGCAGTGTTCTTGCTTCTGAGAGGGCAATCTCCATGACGAGGAGAGGCAAGAGCTTGGATTCTCCGTTCGACTGAGTCTCTTCAATCCAGGAGACGGCGAGGAGGTCGACAATGTTAGGGTGAGGTTTGATGAAATCGCTAAGTAGCACGCGAAGCTCAAGACTTAAAGCCTTCAGGCTGCTCTGCTCGCCATCTCCGCCCATCCTCTGTGGCTTCCATTTCTTGATAGCCACTTTCTCTCCGTCAAGAAAGCCCTCGTGAACAATCATAGAGCTTCCTACTCCGATCTGCGGCCCAGACTGCAGGCCATCGCTGTCCGCAATGCGCGCGCCGAGAAAAATGGACTGTATGAGGACCTTAGGGACGCAGCTTGGCTTCTCCAGCTCAGTAGAATCGTTGGTGGTCTCGACTGGCTGCTCGCTCGCCTGCGAATGCTGGCTCCATCTTGCAAAGTCGAAAGAGCCCGACAAGGACAAGCGCAACTCGCCAGCAAGCCGGCCCCTGATCTCGTCTTCGAGCCTCGTCATCCCGGCATCGATCGAGCTCACTACCGTGCGAAATAGGGTGAGCCACTCAGAATGTCGGAGATTTCGCGAATTGTGGTGCCCAAAATTCGGGGAGTCCGTGGGCCAAAACTAGTGTTTAGCCAATCAGTGCGCGTTCCAGTGTTTACTGTGTCTTTCAGCTGAGGTTTGCAAGTTGAAAAAAAGAAAAATCTCGCTCACTTCCCATCGGCCTTCGTACTTGGCGAAGTGCTTGTTCTTTTCGCCAAGTCCGCTTAACTAGGCAATGTGGCGTCGATACGACGCTTACCCGATGTAGACCACCGCGAGAACCAGCGTGCCAGCATAGCCACGCAGTCAAAATGGTCCATTTAAACCAGAGGGCGAGCCCGAGGCGCATAGGTTCGGCTCTACCATGGATATCTTCCAGACAATTGTCACATCCGGGGAGCTGATCTACCATTTCCTCGACGCTTATTCGGCCCACTCTAAAGAGGCCAGATCTCTGGCCGCCCGCTTTAAATGGGACATTCGCGTGCTGCAACAAATCGTTCAGCATTTCGACAGCCGACGGCTGCAAAACGAGGGGAAACTCACAGAGCCCGACCAGAAACTGCTCCAGGAGACCGCCGAGTATTTGCAATCTCTCGCAGCGCGTGCCGGCGCCAGCTGCGCCCGCGTTCAGACCCAGGAATGGCTTTCCCGCGCTAGTAGCAAGGTCTTGTGGTTTCACCGCCGCAAAGAACTGCAGAGCCTGGAGCAAGAGCTGTTCGAGTGGACCTCGCGTTTCGACATCCGGCTCGTCGGTCTCCCCCCTGAGCTCAAGACCATCATCTCTTCGATCAGCGAAGAACAGGACGACGCTGGGTCCAGCAAGGCTCTCTGTTCCAATCGGCGAATGCATAGGGTCCAGGCCCTTGCCGAGGAGGCCCGGCTCGCAGAGTCCCGCGACCTGTTCTTAGAAAATGTACCCAAGACCCTACGCAAGACGCACCTTCGAACAGGCTCCGAGTATTCCATTCTGGAGTTCAAGAGCGAGCAGGTCATCCTGGAATCCAGATATTTCGCCCTAGCCAGCGACTCGGGCCCCCGGCAGATTCGCGTCCTCACTCAATGCCATCGACAGTGGCGTAGTTAGCCTTCTGAAATGCGTTGGGTACTTTTACAACCCAGACCCGGAACGGCCATCGTTCAACCTGATTCATAGTCTGCCATTCCCACCATCTCCGGCCACGGCAACCACGCTTAAGAGCCTTGTCGCCGCACAATCGGGATCCAGGAGGATGCCGCCGCTACACTCTCTAGACCAACGCTATCGAGTTGCGCTACACTTGTCGACGGCGGTGCTCTTTCTGCACGGTTCTGACTACCTGCACAAGAACATCTCGTCCGAGAGCGTTCTCATGCTTTTCAACGACCAGAATGATTCGAGTCTCAAATTCCCCTACGCTCTCGGCAAGCCTTACCTGGTGAACTTTGAGCTGATCCGCTCATTTGCCCTCGGGAGCCACCCAATGGAGCCCTCAAGCGACTGGAAGGCCAGGATATACATCCATCCCGCCAGGCAAGACCCCCGACCGCGGAGCTTCATCAAGTCCTACGACATCTACAGCCTCGGCGTCGTTCTGTTAGAGCTCGGCTTGTGGCGGCCGCTTGAGCGGTTTGATGCGGAGCTCAGCGCGGCAGACCCCGACGAGATGCAGAAAGCTCTCAACAGGATCGCCCAGGAACTTGGAATCACTATGGGGAAACGATATCGGGAAATCGTCCAGTGGTGCTTGGCTCTCTACGGCGATCAAGACGTCCAGCCGGCCGTGCTTGTTCGGGAGGTGCTTTCAAAGTTGGAGGATATCGTAGAAGCTATCGGTTAGTCACTCACTCGAAGGCGTTGTTATCATGATTGTAAGAGCGGAGGGAGGCTCTGAAATCCCTGGCACCCGTTTCGGGGTCATGTCATCATTGTTATTCTAGAAAACATGCCGAACGCCATAGATCAAGTTACACCACCCCAGTCCCAAGAGGTAAGGTTCAAGCAGAGTGTCCTCCAGGTCAACTGAAAGATGAGATGCAGTACTGAGTGCAGGAGCGGTATGGTATAGCGGCTAGCAAGGACGGTCCCTTGCTCTCTTTGCTCGATTCGAGACAATGCTCTACCCTTTTTCCTCTTGCCCTTTCCGTCCTCGGGATCTAGCATTGGGCCTTGATCGTTTTCGAAACATTTGAGTGTGACGTCATGCAAATCCGCATCGGATATGTCGGATTCAAAGCCCTTCCCGCTTGTGGAGGCCCAATATCTGGATCTGCTATCACAGCTAGTTGATGCAACTGTGAAACCACCGCAGCAGTGAGGCGTATCGGGAAGTCGTCCCTGGGTGTCTAACTTTGCGCTCAACCCCTGGATCCTGTTTCGGTTGACTCTCCTAGATTCGAAACTCGGGGGCATTGATGAGGCTTCAAAATAACTGGTATCGAAACAACTATATAATTACGTGCTATTAGCTGGAGGCTGTGGAGAATATGGAGGGTCTAAGCATGTTTGTTCTCAAGTAATTCTGTGTTTTCCCATTGTGTTTGCGTGCGCACTCGGAACATTATAAAGGTTTCTTGAAGAGCTCTTCGTAGGTGTGGTCTAAGTGATGTGGCAGGGCACCACGCGCATAATGACGTTTCAGACGGATTATGCAAGAGTAATGCAGATGGTGCTGCGGTGACTGCGGTGCTGTGTCAAGTTGTTCTCCTTGGCCTCACTGTCGTAATACTGGTCGTTATGTTCTTGCCATACCTTTCTTCCCATGATCTCCGGCGCGTCTGTATGCCCGGCTCTGATGCATTCGGGACATCAGAAGGAGTTGGAGAGAAAACTTTTTCTTCTCTCGTGTAACTTGCAGAAGTGTGATTTCAGACTTGTAGCAATGCAGACCAACCCCAGATAGAGGAAGCATTAATACGCTAATCCCTGTCTTGCATTAGATCAATAGCGTCTCCAGTCCCAAATGCTAGCAATTAAGGGTGCGTTGCCCACTCCGACTTTTTGGGAAATGCACTTATGGCACTGTACCACGACCTTGAAATTTGCCTTTGACGTAGGAATCTTGTTCATTGGTATAACCACAAGACAAATGGCCAGTGAGGCCCCGCCAGTTGTATGTTTTTCCCTTTCTTTGCATGCCACAACTTGAGAATAGACACAGATACTTCTCTGAGTGTTTCTCGGTCTGTCGAAAGTATGGGGGGTAACGCTGGCCATGAAACCTTTCCAGATGATTCAACTATGTAAGTTACCCTTTTCCAACTGAAGCGCTTTCTTATTCCAGTAGCATTCCGGGTACTGGAGTGGCTGCTCAAAAAAAATCCTCTCGCCTGTGCTTCTCATAATGGCCTGTGAGAGTTGTCTGGCTCTTGTAACGAAGATCACGAATGACGCATAGGAAGCCGCGGTCGTCTGGAACGTCAGTCCCCTCGCGGTTCTTCCCTTTTCTGTTCTCATTCCCATCCCATCCTGATTTTCATCGCTGCGGTATCAATGCAAAGAAGTCTTTAGTCTTGCCCTGACCCACTTTTTGTGAGTTAGCTATAAGCAGGAGGATCTCAAAGGAAGCGGCTGAGCTCCAGGCAGCAGACACAAAGTAGCGTAGGCGGCAATCCTTGGCTGAGACAGATCAAAAGATAAGTATACATAAGTGATAGGCGCTGGAAGGTGGGAACTTAATAACCTGAAGGGCATGATGACGAAGTGGATGAGTGGAATTCTATCTACCTGCAGAATTCTATCTCTAGGAGGAGAGGCTAAATACAGTGCGGAATGGCACGTGCGCAGTCACGTGACATACGCGGCCAGGGATTGACTGACCCAATTCCAACACATGAAACTGGGCTTTTTAAGCTAAGAGAGAGGCTTACTACGTAGATTCTGGGCCTTATAGAAAGCTTAGAATATATAATAGATGCTTAGGGCTGCTTAAGCTTGCTTAAGCTTAAAACAGTCTCACACAGCCACAGTTCAGGGCTGCTTATTTATCGCTCAGGTTATCATTATGTGTGTTAAGGTCTCAAAGTGAAAATGGAATTTGGAGAAGTCAAAATTCGGGTGTGAGTATTGTGGTATCCTGTACTGAATCTTGACCACGTCTTGGCACACAGTTAGGTTGGCTGCTATTGAAAACACATCTACTAGTTAGCTTCGAAACTTACTATGTAAAAGCGCTGTCCTTTTGGAGGAGTGGCAGATGTATTGTTCCTCTGTGCCCTACTTAGGAATTAGTCACCCGGCTCAACTTCGGCTCAGCCTCCTCTCTTGCTTCATTCTCACTTTACCTAATCATACTCAGCCCCGCTTCTGAGCCGTGGTTGTTATTGGGGACTATCCCTTACCTGCAGCTGCCGTCCCCTCGAAATCTTTGGTTAATTCTACGTGAAGGTCTGGTGGGCCATTCTTGGGACTTCCAGGAGGGACGGCGTATTGAATCCTCATCTACGTTGCCTATGGAGTTTTGGTGCTGTTGACGTCCTGGCTGCTTTATCTCCTCTCTTTCTCCCTTCCGCTGTTCCGACTCTTGTTCACCTCATCCGCCATTCTTGTATAAAAGAACCATCTAGATTCGACTTACCTCTAACCTCATTCCCTTTGTAATTCTGATTTGCTGGAGCGTACCCGCGAATTTTACAGTACGTATTGCGTGGACTGGGAACTTGTCAGCTTGCAGATTCAGGACAGAGGTTTTATTGGCTACTCTTTACGTTCAGTATCAGTCTGTTATCCTACGCTGCAGCTTTTCTGTTTTATCAGACAAATACTTGTCTCTGGCCGTGGAGGCGCCGAGTAACGCCGAAATAGGGGCCTCCTAATTCGGGCCAGGGTCACGTCGGACTAACATTTGTACGGAACTCTTACATTATCATGGTTGTCGAATTCTCAGACCAAGTCACATCAGGAGCCCAAAACCAAACAAGTCGTCCCAAAATTCACTAATGCTGAAGAACAATCCTACCATCATGCACTGATTTGACATAACGCACGTTAAATCGTTTGGCCCACTGACTCAAATCGTGATTACTTGCATCCTGTAGATCTTTTACGTTGGGCTCATCACGCAAGACATCCACGGCGTCGACCAGCAGCCTAAGGGAATCAACTTTCCTCCATTCTTTGAAAGTCTGGGACCGCCAATTTTTGCCAACCATGGCCAAGCAGACGAGACAAACACTTATAACGCCAAGCAGTCCAATGACGAGAAGGACAGGGACATAGGTGAGCTGATAGAAGATGCCGCTTTTGGTGGCTTGAACTTCGAAGATCGCGGCGTCCCCTCCGAAATTGGCGCCGCTCTGGACCTCGTATGACACTCGTTCTGTTTCACCGGCGGCGTAGAGAAAGTTGAGAGCTAGAATACGATAGTCTATATTTGCTGCAAACGCAGCGGCTGCAGAGTTCGGGATTTTCGCACTGGCCCAAAATGCCGGGCCGATGCCTGGCTCCAAGCCAACCCCGGTCGAGTTTGCGGGGCCGTGGAAGTTCAGGGCCACCTGCCAGTCGGCGATAGTCAGTGGAGTGTCGACATTCGGACCGTCCCATACGCTTGCGGTGCGTTTCCACGAGAGGTCTTTCTCGCGGGTGAAGTTATGCCAACCCGTCTGACGGGTGACTTTGCATCGTAAACCAGATACGGACTGCAGCTTTTTCGTCCCGATAAACTCGCTTTGCGGCATCTCAAAGGACTTAAAGGTCATTTCGCCATATGGAGTCTTGTGGGCTGGCTGATTGAAGCGAAGAGCACATCCGAGGTAGAGTTCCATTTTGTCAGGGCGGAATCCGATAAATCTGAAGGGATCATACCATTCGCTCTCCATTGTCGTGAGCTGACCAGGATAACGCGCTCTGAATAAATACCCATCTGAAGCTATCAGGGCGATAGAGACTTCAAAGCCGCCCATTTGTGCTGGTTCAAACGTATTTGGCGGCTGAGCTTGACAGCCGATGGATAATTTGTATCCCGGGACATTATACAGTCTTATTATCTCGGTAGAAAGAGCGTTAAGCGACGCCGTCGTTGCGTTAACTCCAACATAGGAGTCAGATTCCAGCTTATCATCAGCATTCTGATATGAAATTGCGGTCAACATTCCGTTCACCTGACCAGTGAAGTTTGCCAACTGCTCAGTAGTTGAGAACTGAGACGGCGGCAATATAAGAGTGGAACGACTTTCAATCCCGTTCAAAGTCCGGAGGAGTACGGAGGTTTCTCCTGCAGTCTTAGTATACGCTTCGTATGCGACGACATTAGAGATGGATCCCAATGAAATTCCCGAGAGAACTGTCAAAACCGCAAACGGAAGCAACCTTGATCGTGACTTGCGAACAATTCCCCAGATTTTGATAGGGTTATACGTTCCAGCGTCTGTGCTACTCGCCGCAACCAGCGGTCGTAGAGCTACCGTACGGGAAGTCTTTTCACTGATCATGGTCACTCTGGCGACCCTGAACAAGAAGGCATCGAAAAAGAAAAAAATCACCGGGGAAATCACCGCGTTCCACATGGATTCGATAATTTTGGCGCTCTTTTGATTCATGCTCCAGCTAAAGATGGCATTACCTTCATCATTCATGACGATTTTACGTTTGATGGCAATGCCTAACCAAGTTGAAAAGATAATAGTAATCAATATTAGGATCACCAAAATCCCTAGCGCGGCGAGGTTAGCCTGAACGTACCGCTTTCGCGCGTCAGGCTGGCTTCCAACCTCAACGACAGATCCCACTGCAGCAGAAAGCTGAGGTAGCTTTGGAGAAGGACCGTAAAGATTACTCTCAGCTGAACTCAGAGGTGAAGTGGAATCGGCAGCGTCTTGGCTTTCCGGCTGCATACTTTCGTGCAGATAATGTGATTCGCCAGAGGGCCGAGCTTCGGAGGATTCAACTCTGGCGCTTGGGAAATCCACCAGTGGGACCGTATCATCATCAGGCTCCATGATACTTCCGCCAAGAATATCAGGCTGAGCTGATGAAAGAATTTGCGATCACGCGGTTGAGGCAGTTGAAAAGATAGAAAGAGGACTCGCACAAGGCCAGGTTAGTTATAAGTGTGCTGGATCTGCGGTTTCAGTGCGCTTCGCAAGCGTACGACAGCGACCATGCCCCCCCCCGAACCGATCATCAACGAAGTGCAAGCACTTCCGACCTCCCTGCCAGTAGAAGGGACTGTCCCTGGTTCGCAGAAAGCTTAAGGAGGTCAAAACGAGTCAATTGCTGCCTCGATCAGCAGTATCTTCAGAAGAGCCAACCTGGGTCAAGGACTGAACGCTTGCCAAAGGCAGATCCGGGGGCCTCCACTCTGTTGAATACCCTTTCTGGTCTTGGCGGTCTTGACAGAAACTGCTTAGTAGCACGCCTCTCTAGTAGCGGGATGTTCCACTCCGCAGGCACGTTGAGCCCTCCAAACGCACTCTGATTTCCTCATTAGGCCGTCCACCGTCACGCCATTCACCCGCGGTGTTATTTCTAACGCACCGGGACCCACAGCTTTTGAGCCAATCATTCTGTCTGCGTTCCTCAAACAGACCAATCAAGGACGAAAACAGGTCAAAAGGCTGAATCTAGGCCAATCCAGGCCAACCAGACCAATTCAGACCCCACAAAAGACTAGTCAGAGCCGAACCCACCAATCAAGGCTGAACGCACTCAGAGCTTCTGTCTTCGTTCCTCAGGGTTTCTCTGTCTGCGTTCCACTTCCACGGTTTTACGTAGTACAGCGTACGCAGACTACGGGCAAGTGATCGCAGCTGTTTTCTACCTCACTGTCTTGATAAGTCACTCTGACCATTCAAAATGCGCATTCTGTGGGTCTGTCAGCGTTTTCGATGGGACGCCACTTAATACATTTTCAACGCATTTTCCAAGCACGCCCTAACTACTGCTTCGATCCCTGTTGGGAGCAGTTCCGCGCTAAATGCCCAACTTTCTCGCATCTAAAGCACTTGCGGCTTTCACTAAGCAACGTGAGGCCCGTGCGGGAACTGACTGTGTATCACGCCGTCACTCTACCATCACGCCGCCTACTCGGCTACCCACACCGCCGGTCCTATCACCGGCACCCCCGCACTCTATATCCATGGCCACCACCGACTCTGGGCTCAGCATTACTGGCCAGCTCGAAAGTCGCGTCGCTGGAGAGCTCAATGTCAGGTGGATGGGTGCAATCGTGGACCGTTGTCTTGACTCTGGGCGCCGCAATCCATATTAGGCGGTCCGGCAATTCGGCACCGTTATTTCCTTTGGGAAAGCAAAAGTTCTGTGGATGGATAGAGAGCAAAGATAATGGTCGCTTGACCACTTTCAATTGATTTATTTCCCGCATCATAAAACTGTTCAGAATCTCATCAAAAGCCATTCGTGAGCATCTGAGCATTTCCCGGCATCAATACGTCTTTTTCTCAACGGCACTTGATATCATCCAGTTTGTAGCAAACCTGTTCCTACAAGAATCTAAGCAGCGATGAGGGCGGCTGACCCCAGACCATGCCATCTTCCAGAAAATCCAATTCATCTGACTCGTTAGAACCTGTGTTTCCCGTACCCACCGAAGAAAACGTGAGCAGAGACAGAGACTGCGCCATTGCATCTGCAGACAGCCCTCTCTTCTCCAGCTCTTCTCTGCAAGCTGCAAGCCGTTCTTTGAAGAAAACTGTGCAGGCTTGGGTCGGCCCATACATCTGCTCGGATAGCATGACTGCGTTTTCCAAACAACGCAGAAAGCACTTCCATTCCCCCTTGCGGTGATGATGTTGTGCAATCTGAATCGTGAAGAAACATTGGAGGTGTAAGTTGCTGGGGTCTAGTAACCCTTTTGCTTGGTTGAAGAGATATTCGGCTCTTTGATACTGGCGTGATCTGGAAAAGGTTTCCGCCTCCCACAGAATCGTGACTAGAAGGCGTTGCAATGTCGCGGGTCGTATAGACATAGCATCGGATAAGTGTGCCAGATGATTGCTGTCAATTCTCGCGTCCAGGCGATCGATTCTGCGAGGTCTGTCGTAGTAATGATGCTGCAGGGCTATGAGGACGGACACGGCATCAGACGAAACCCTTTGTTCGTTCAAATTCTCGCATCCTGCAATGACTTGTGCGAAGTAGGACTCAGCTTCAGGGGAGTTACCCTCGTTGTCAAAACTAATTGCCAAATTAAAATGGCATCGCACAAGGTAGGACAAGAGCCTGTGAGAGAGCTGACAGGCCGATCCGAAAGACTGTAAGAGCTCAGTGGCTTGATACGCACATTTCTTGCAGTTTTGATAGGAACCTGCATAGCGGTATGCATCCGATAGGCCAATAAGAGCGCGAAGGATTCGATCTCTCAAGGCATAATCGGTTCGAGTCTCCTCCGCAAGCAATCTTCGATAGAGGTCTGTGCTGGTCCTATAATCGTGGAGCGCATTGCACGCTTCAGCGCAGGAAAGGACAATCAGATGCATAAAAGCAGAATGCAGTCCGTAATACTCTATGCAAGACGTCGATAAACATCCGTACTCCCTGAGGGCATCTTGTGGACGCTGCTGAAGTGTAAGGATTCGAGCCAGTAAGAGACGATTGCAGAACCAACTAAGTCTCTCAACGCCCTCGTTCTCTGTTACGGTTTGGAGCAGCTTCTGCTCTATTTCGTGAAGGAGCCCTTGGTAGGCGTAGATGTCAACGAGTGCGTAAATGCTATTAAACATAATAAAGCTGCAGTCGTAGAGATTCTCTTCAGTACAGGTTTGCAAGATTTTTTCGTGGATATGAATCGATTCTTGGTACCGTTCCTTCAAAAAGTGATCCATGGCGACGTCATATAGCATTGACAAGGTGAACGTGCAGGAAATGATGCGACACGAACGGCACAAAGGCAAGATTGTTTGCAAGAACTCTTTGGCGGTTTCCCAGGCGCTCCCGTCGTGAAAGTCGACTCCGTGGGAGCGGAGCTTGTTGAAAGGCTCCCTCACGGTGTTGGCGACTTGAGTCTGGCACGATTGACACCCGTGAATTACTTTTTTGCTCATTTGGTCAGCTAGGTGTTCTGTTGTGAGGACTGCCCTTTCGTAAGAAGGACACGAAAATGAGAGATCAACCAGATCCGCTAAGGACATTGGGCGACGGTCAGAATGGTGACTGTTACGTCTCTTAAACGTAGAAAATGTACGGCCTGATAAATCACTGAGGGACCTTCGTAGAGCTAGACTGCCGTGCCGAAATGCGGAAACAGTAGAAGCAATGCTTGCAGTTGACCCATTCATGCTTGCTACACGAAGCAATGCGCTAGAGAGGGAGGAAATATTGCTCCTCATGGTGCAGTAGCTGACCACGGATGGTGTCGCTGATTGAATTGTCAGTATCATGGGATTCCAGCTGGGATTCAGCGACTCACAGGCAGAGGGGGAGACTCTTTTGCCATTTTTGACGTGACTTCTTTTCGCATAGTGATCAAGTCTCTCCGGCAAGATATCTCGTCCCTTGTATCTAAACTTTGTGTCTTTGTCCTCGTCAAATTTGCGTTTCGTTGCCTTTGCCAGCATGAGCTGCATGACAGAGGATCTGATGTTCTTGTCGAACCCCCAATTTTTAAGCTGCGTCTTGAGCTTTCTTTCCCCAGCTACGAAGCCCTGCTTCTCCTTCAAATATCGCATGGTCTCCTCCACTGTCTTGTCCTCATCAAGATAGAGTCTCTCGATTAGCTCCTTTTGCTGTTCCCACTCCTCCGGAGAATGACGATTCTTGACGTGTCGTTTCCTTACTGGAGTGGAACTCTCCCCAATTGAGATGACAGAGCTCAGATCCATGGTGTCGATGGCGGAGGGACTTCCTGATTGATTGGAAGGACTTAGGATAGTCACTTATCACGAGCGATAGAGATATGTAGATCAAGACCGATGGTCCATGAGAATCTGAGGCTGGGAATTCGGGGGATGCAAATGCTTTTGAGGGTCATGTTCCCAGCCAACGCAGTAAAAGTGCATTAGAGCATGCTCCGAAACTGGACTGGAGGAGCGCATGATGGTGAGTTCATGGCAATCGGGACATGTCACTACTTATATGCTTGCAATCAGGCGTTGGCCATGGGGCGTAGTCTGCGCAGTCGCGTGTTCTTGCCTAAACAAAAGTGCATTTGAACTGCAGCTAACCAAGTTTAGGAATGATGTCATAGGTGTTTGGGCAAGGCCCCAGCCACCACAACATATCCCTCGGCGAACGTCAGACGGTATGAATGGATAAGATATCGACAAATCCCATGGAGTCTTCTTCCCGCCTAAGATCATGGAAAGCACGCGGTTAAAGATTACTATTTCATGGAGATCATGTTGGAGATGCAGGTGAAGACCCATCTGGAGGCATTTCCAATCACCATGCTCAACGAAAGTGCAATTGCCTGACCGGTGACCAATCAAAGCCCACAAGTTGCTGATATCTCAGATCTCTCTTGCGCATCCATGTCAACTGGTCTGCTTTGGACTTGCTGAAGCCAAACGTGACTGAGGTTTTGTGGCTGCCAGGATACGGAGGCTTTCTGGGGTGACAGGTCCTTCGCATCGGTTCCCCTCGACTCGTCCTCCCTGATTGGCCGACAAAAGTGCAGTTGAGCTCGGATGAGGTTTCTGGCAATATGGGCGATCCCTGGATGTCCTAATTTACCTTTATTGAACTGCCCTTAAGGAACAGGGCGGCCAAATACGGAATCACTCATGATGCACTATCTCCGACAGTCAGCACACAGTTAGCCAATCATCTGAACGTTCGAAAGTGCAATACCGAGATGTCAAGGAGCGGAGCATTTAGCTCACCGCTCTTTATTCAGAGAACCCTTTCGATACCTGATCAGATCTTTCAAATTCTCTCCCAATCCCCGTTAGTCTGAAGCATGTCGCTAGGCGTCAACGGCGGTGGGTCATCACCAGCATCTGCACTGCATATGTGTGTACTCTGTTTTGTGGTTGTTTCAACGGCACGTTCCCTGTCTAGGATTAACCGGCGACCCATGAGAACTAAAAATGAAGCGAACAGCTTGATTGTTGACTTCGGCTGGGCGCAGATGCTGGTTTAATCTTGTTGACGCCTTCATGACGCTGGCTTTTGAACTGAGATTTTGGCATATAAAGGATCACACGTAGAGGTAATCCATCCAAAGATTGATTTATGTCCAGCCGAAAAGACCATTCAACAAGGTTCCTTAGACCACGCAATCACTGTGCACCAACATGTCACAGAGCAGGGGAATCAATGGTAGTAAGTGAACTCACCCGCTATGGAAAGGCTCACACACTCAGTCCCGAGCAAGCTATAGATGTCCCCGACATGTCTGGACTAAGCAAATCGCAATTTCCTTCCACCCCCAAAAAATCGGCCGGGTATGTTGCACACTTCACGGTGTGGGTTCTGTCTTTTAAAAGCTACAGGTATCCCATCCAGAGAATGCTCAACGAAAGCCCCAAGGAGCATCCTTGGAACCATCTTGCAACTGTGGCGCCACAGAAGCCTAACCCCAAGCTCTGAAATACCTTCACTTTACCCGCCGTGCTGGTTTTCCGCTGGTATTATCTCTTCAAATCTCAGTCGCGTGTGCAGGGGTACAGGGCTTTCGATTATCGGCTTTGGAACCAGGCATTGCCCTCTAGGACCTTACTGTAGTGGCGGGCATTTGGTCTATGGAGAAACGGTCACGGTAGACACAGAGTAGTCTCATAGCTTCAAATTTCTCAGCGCTTCATCTGAGCATCTAGCCATATCATCTTGAGAAGCTCTTGGTATATTTGTACCAGCTTTGTATGAATTTCCTGTCTCTTCGTGAAACTTCCTCCCACATAATCACTGAGAATCATTGCAGTGGTGTGTGTATTATGCCTGGACAATTGTCAAGCCCTGTGTCCATGTATAAGGCATCATGACGTCCAGCGTAGCTTCGAATGGGAATACCTCTTGATCTCTGTCCGCAGCCTCCGTTGTCCCTGCCAGATCTGTTTCTGCTCATAGTTCTTATTTGCTTGTTGCAACCTTAACAGAATGCAGTCCCCAAATTGGCAGACCGTCCAGCTCATCGGGTCGATATCTGCGAACTGAGCAACAAGATGATCGCTGGATAGAACCAGCAGTTCAAGGGATGGCGAAATGCTCTTAAGATACTTGAAGATGCGCACGGCCTGCCCATCATCATCAATTGCCTGTTGCCACAAACCTTGTCCGTTCTCATCTGCACAGTAATACCGGGGAAAGAGACGAAGCGTCTTGAGGTGCCGGAACTTCGAGAATGCGCCCAATACCTGGTACAAATGCACATCAACATCGACGCCGGGAATGGCGCTTGGATGCCACAGCTTTCCCACATGTGCAACATCGAGCATCAAATGTTCCAGGTTCGGCGCCAGTTCTGCCAGCTCTTGAATCTCCGCAGCAGATCTTAAATTGGCTCGAGCGATGGTATGATCCAGCTCTATCATATGAAGTCTTAGCTTTCTCAAATGCACAGACGCAACATGCCTTATGGGCAAAGTCTTATTGAAGCCGTCAAGCTCAAGCTCCACAAATGACCTCTTAGCGAGCAAATCGGACACCGCCAGCAGGGACTGTTCAGAGGCAGCCCACAGACCGTTCCGTTTCAAGTAAAGGACGATGATCGAGAGAGATTGTAGCTTGACCATTTCGGCACCAAACCGAGGCAATAGAGTCTCAGTCAGACGATCGCTAGAGATGTCCAACTTTTCAATGCTTGACCATTGGAATCCTGCCAACAAGTTTAGACATTCATCTTCTTGTACCATAATACGTCTTGGATTCACATTCAGTCGAAGCTCTTTGAGTGGCGGAAGGCAGCTTGCGGTAGTCCCATTCAAACTGAAATGAGAGAACTCCGGACGTTCCCTTTTCAGAGGAACTGTCCTCTGAGGTGGTACCACTAGATCTAGCGACATCAGGTTCTGGCAGATAGACATGACTCTTTGTACGTTCTCCAGATACGTAAAGCTCCGGCCTCCGGAGACGAAGGCTGGCACGTCTGCACAGAAACTCAAGTATCTAATGGACGAAAGCGCCCTAAAAGCTTCCACGGTTTCTTTGTAATGGGCATCAGAAAAACATTTCAAAGAAAAAGCCGTGATGGCAACATTGGGCTGCCTTTTCAAGGAAGCAATCCATCTCAACAGATCTAGATTTGCTTCATGGGAGTAGAAAAGTCTGCCCGCGTCAGTAAATAAATAATGTCAGGTAGGGTGGAAATTACTCGACGTTTCGAAGTACTGGCAACAATGGAAGTAGCTCTTTCAGCTTCTGGTACTCAACGGCCTGCTCGGTGGCCTCTCCAGCGCTTCTACATATCTTGATCGTATGAACACAGTCCCGGATATGCGGATTACGCAATAAGAAATCCAGTAGTGCCTCCCCATGTCTGCGTTCAGCATTCGTCAAAGTGATGCTGACACATCGAAACAAGATGGCAATCGCAGAATGGCGAAAACGCTTTGATACAAGAGAGGGCGATGATAATGCAGTCGTGATGGGTAGATAGCCGACACACTTTCATGACGTTATCATAAGTATAGTAACGTAAGATCGGAACAAGAACCAGCAACCCTACCTCCTCGATTATGGCATCAAACAACTCGGAGGGCAGATCATAGATGGATTCTATACGAGGCATTGATGGTTGCCTTGACGCGCATGATTTCAGACTCAACATATTGAAAATGATCGTGGTAGCAACTTGTGTCCTAGAGTGCTACCGTTGTAGTTATTGCTACAACCCGAGTAAGTTTGGTCTTCACCATGCCACCAACAAGAACATTGAGGAGTTGGAGCCAAGGAGACATATAGATTATCTTTCTCTATTCACCATCAAAGTTCTCTATTCACCCTCAGAGCACTCTGTTTAGTATTCTACAACGCTTGTAGCAATATTCTTGTCTTGAATGCAAAATGGCAACCAATCATGCGATGTCATCGCCCAAGATGTTGATCGAAGACCATTGCCCAGAGAGCAAAACCCTCTCCGCCCTCTTCTGGCCATCCATCAGGCCGAGCGACGCCTTGACCTATAATGATTTTCTCGCACACCCTAAAACCGTAGTGCTCGTATACTTGTACTGCATGCAGATCCACTGATATCAACCATGCTGGAACTCCATCCTCTTCAGCCCGTTGTAGAAAAGGTCGCATTACAGCCGACACAGCTCCTTTACTTATCTTTGATGGATCGCGAGCTAAATAGCTGAGATGCCAGTATCTCTCGCGGAATTCAGGATCCAGATATTTTGCCCGCACAGCGGCCGCTTTTGTTATGAACTCCTTGAGCAGAGGTAGTGGATTGTGATAACGTGGAGCATCCATGCCACCAGTAAACCCAGGTGGCTGCCATAACGAAGCCGCTGTCCAGTTGTCTGCCTCGGCAATCAAAGCGCCGTTCCTAGCTGAAGATATAATGCTGCCACTTTCGAAGTGCTTCACGCGTCGTTCGAAGGTGAAAGGAGTGAAGGGAGGCTGCTTGATGTCATCTACCTCGGTGATCAGGCCGATCAAGATTGGACTCGTCAAAAAGCTGCGAGCCACATGTGCAATTAGGCGTTGGGCATATTCAGGGCTGGAGGACACCGTGGCCGTCGCAGGAAGAAGAATCTTGTCAGGAGTTGTTGATTTCGCAGAATGCTCTTCGGCAGGTACCGACATTGCTGTTAAGTAGGCTAGAGACTGTGTCTGTTCTTGGACCTGCTTGTTTCAGGTGTACTTCAATCAAGCGTGCTTCGAAACTCATTAGCTCTGTCCTTCTGGCAGAGTGTTTGGTGCATCCTTTTTCTGGTGGTAGAGTCAGGAGTTTGTGTCTGACTCAAACACATGTCCTGGCATTAGCAATGCGGTCTCTGCGGGCCAACTCATGTAGATAATGTGAGTCATAGAAGAAAGATCTATGCAGGGCATGATGCAGGGGCACTTCAGGTACGGAGCCATCGAGCGCTGCCTGGTAGATAACATAGCTTAGGATGTTTAGCACGCTAATGTCATCATTCGCAAGAAAAGAGTCTGATGGAAGTAAATCGGTCGATCAACACTAGCTGGCAGTTCGGAGTACTGCTACGTAGTAAATATAATCATTACTGCAACTTTCAAATGGTCACAAGTCTTGGCAGCACAAGAAAGTAAAATCTGCTCCGCATCTCCGATGCTCACCCCCTCGACGCCGCTTTTATCACGAGCTCAACCACCACTCATCCACCGCTCAAAACTCTCGGGTGATTCGTGGGTGGGCACTGCAGGATGGCCTAGGATGGCCGCTCGTCATGGGGCTCCCGCACAGCCGCCCTGGAGCGGCCAGCGCAGCTGGGACAGAGGGGGAGATTTCCACATTGGACAGCCAAATCTCCCATATGCATTACCACCGGGCCCCCCACCCACTCTCCTGGTGCTTCTCCTCCTTTTCCCTTCCCCACAATAGATCTCGATATTGGGTTGGAACGGAACGAACGGAACAGGACCTCTATTACAGTTGTGTTCTGATGATTGTGAACACTGGTTCAGCTCCTACCATACGCATGTTCCAGGACTCCTAGTTTTCCTTACCAAGCGCTACCCTCGGATCGTCCCTCTCTGAGAGCGGTTCATAACACCACAACGGCAAATCCTTCGGTTCGACAATCTCTTTCGTTTTCCTATGGTTATTTCAAATAGATAGGTGAGATCATGAATGGGACAGATCATCGAATCACCACCTCAGAGACCTGGCAGGCTTCGAAATAAGTCTTCATGTCTTTGGAGGTGTCGAACACCATGAGACCAGTTCTAGCATACGTGCCATCGTATAACTCCTCTAGCATGATGGCTAACTGGCCATCGAGCGCAATGCACACAATAGGCCGCGTCATAAAAGTCTTCCCTTCTTCAATTCCCATCCAGAAGATCGTCTCTTGAGGTGGTGAATCACTTTCTGGGGTCACTTTATTAATGTTGTACAGTTTCTGCGCTGCACAGTCTGGATATGCTGAGGCAATTGTTGATAGGAAGTAGGCTATGCTGTGTTCTGACTCTGCTGATCGGTCAAAACCTTCCCTAGGAATTCGTTGGGCGCCATCCCAGTCGAGTTTTTTTACGATCCCTTTCATTCTCAGCGTGCCATCAATGACTCTTCCAAAAGGATTCGCTGTGTTTGCTAGCGTAACCTTCCATTCAATAATCTCCGTCCGATGTATTTCAATGTCGAAAATACCTTCATTCGGGGGCTTATTGGGAAATAGAACGTCACCAAAGACAGAAGCCCAAGACCAAGTTGGTGCCCGATATTCCTCGGGTCTAAATAATTCAGGCTCATTGACGGACCATTGCAACCCCTCAGTCAGCTTACTTCGCCAAAGACCCGCGCAGTAATCATCATGGAAAATTTCCTGGAAGCGAGACGCAATAGCTGAAAAGGCAGGCAGCTTGTCCGATGGTACGCTCAATCCTCGGCGTGTATAATCAGAAACCAAGTCTTCCCACATCTCCCAAGACCATTCTTGATCTAGATCTCCAGCTAAGCTCACCAGTGATGCCCCTTTCCTACCGAAATTATCAACTGTTCCACCGTCACAAAGGAGAGCTGAGCAACATTTCCACCAGACTTGCCACGAACCGTATGCAAGAACACGAGGAGACAATGTTCGTTCCTGTAGAGCCCATGCACGGTTTTCCAATGGCTCTCCAGATGGCTCATACAACTTGTATTTTCGGACGATCAAGTGCCCAAGCTCGCCATCTGGACAGGGAAAGTCTATTATCGAGGATTTGGTGGAAGGCATATCATCTCCCTCGAGAGTTCTAGTGTTTAAGAAACCGTGATCGCATCTTGGAGAATGGGCAGCATAGATAGTCATTGTTGCATTGCTGTAGATCTGGCTCATTTTACTTATTTCAATGTCTTTGTCTGCCACGGAATCTTGTAAAATGCATAGTGCATCTATCCATATAAAGCGAAGCTCGAGCCTCCAAGTCACAATGATTGCGTCCTGTAGGGTTTGCGGTAGCTCTTCCATGTCAAAACCCTTCTGCATGTGATCAAGAGTCCTGTGTATTCAAGGTGAAACGCTGATCGTCTCCCCAGCAATAGCTTAAGGCTGCATAGGGAAGGTTTTCATCCTGTCCAGGTTGGCGCAAGTATACCTTCAACGGTTTGGCATCATTTCCCTGTAGCTCGATCAGTCGCTTTGGTGGTGAGGCAGACCGGTTGACCGGGCACTTGGTATGGTGATTCTCGAGGCAGTCTTGAAGCCATTTTCGAGCAGTGTCAAATGAAGCTGAACCTCCAACATGCGGATTTATCGGCCTTGTTCTTACATACTTGGCAGCTGGGTCATCTGAGAATGGGTTCAACATATGAAGCACATTCTCCACGCATCTCAGGCTGTATATAGGCTCACAACTTACCATGGTTTACCTCAACCCCAAACTGGAGGTACACATCCTCCCCTCCCTCTGTTGACCAGATTGAAACTCGAATAAATTGAACGTCCCAGGATCCAGACGAAGGAGTCAAGAAACGTACACTCAAGACGATTTTCTCGCCTTGCAATGGTTTGCGGAGGTACTCTACTTCGTCAAGCCAGTGATACCGTTTTGCCAAATCATGAATGGCAAGACAGATCGAGCAGCAAGAATCAACAGACCAATGAAATTCTTCGGAGTCCCGTGTAATATCCACACCTGTTTCTGACAAGAGGTATTGCAAACCTGAGGATGTTGAGATCATTCTAGCACAATGACCGCACGTTCGTGGTGGCTCCATGACATTTAAAGTGGCAAAAGCGCACAAGGGTGTAAATTGGGCTGCTGTACTGAGCGATATCCAGATTAGAGACCATGTGTACTAGACTTCGGGCAAGAGCTTTGCTTAGAGAGAGGCGTGTTATGAAGTAGGAAAGAAATCTATCCCACAGGCCAAGAAAATTTCCCGCAAACCCGCGTCGATTGGTTCAGTCATTTCCCACTATTTCCACCATTTCTGGCCTTTTCCGGTGGTTTCGTTACACCACTCTCTCGGGGTGTTTCATCTTTACTACGGTAGGAGGCCTAAGTATTGTTAGCTCTGAGCTAGAATTTTTGTATTTGACCAAATCATTACGAAAGTACGGAGGCGTGCACCAAAAGTCATTACCGAGCTAAATTTTAGCTGCGGGTGCTAGTTCCTAGTCCGCGCCACTCTCTTCCTAGTGTGTACTTGGCGCCCCATAGAAATTTGTATGAGGATAGACGTACCTGTCAGGAAAGCTCTGGGGGTGGCCAGGAATGCTCTGAATTTTGTGATTTTGAAAAGAATTGACGCAGTTTGACGGTAAATAGCTCTTATGAAGTGTTATTTGGCAGCTGTAGAAGCGTTTTACAAGCCAGATTTGCAAATTCAACGGGGATAGCGAAATAAGCGGTGTGACAGGAGTTTTTTGGGTATTCGAGGCGGTCAACAAGGCGCTTGACAGTGCTAAGGGCATTCTAAATGGAGAGGACGTACGGAGTAAAAGATGAAGAGGATCCTGCCCTTGGTAAGCTGTTTATTCTCTCGAATAGCCCCTTTAAGAGCTTACCGTCCTCAAGATGCCTTCTTACAGCCTCCGCACCCTAAGCAGCGTCAACGCCTTTATTATTCATTAGCACTAAGGGTATAGTGCTTGACACTGTTAACAGAAGAATATCCTGGCTTAGAGATCAAGAAAAAGACTAGTATTCCATAGAGGACACAATTAAATATTCAAAAAAAAGGCACAGGAGCGTAAGTATTACCCTGAGCAAGATAGGCGAATTCTTAAGCATTTTATTAAGGATAAACCACGCTCTGGCCGTCCTAAAGAGATCTCTATAAAGAAAGAGTAAGAGTTACTACAAAATGTTTATTTAAGTTAAGTAAACTGAGAGAAATCAAGTGAGATTCTAGCTTATAAAAGTAATATTAGCTATACTAGTGTATTATAGCACGTGAACACGCTAAGCACTAATAGGCACTACGGAGCTGCCTGGCACTCTGCGAAGGAACTATGACAGACTTGGACAGAACCGGACCCTGAACTACACACATAGTCAGACCTAGACAACGTAATGATTAGAGGTGATCAGGGTGAGCACTCATAAGCAATGATCAAAGGTGATCAGGGTGAGCACTTATAAGCAATGATTAGAGGTGATCAGAATGATCAACTCTGAGCACGAATCTTCTAGTCTATATAAGCACGCTCATTTTCTAGATAGTTTCATAGTCTTTGTAGTTAACTTATATTATTAGCTTATATCTAAGTTGAAGACATCTTAGTATTATTTACTACACTTCTTATTCTACATAACTAACCCTTTAGACTTAGCTTCTAATTAAGACTTATCTTAATTAATTAAGCCTTAATACTTTAATTACTATTTTTCAGAATACTAAGTATAGTTAAACAGATATTATATATATTATTTAAAGATATATATTATATTAGTTACCTTAAGACTAATAAGTATTACTATTATTAAAGGCTAAAGAAAAAATATATAATTTAAAGTTATATTACTAGACTTATTTTATAAAGATAAAAAGAGACTTTAAGAATTCTTAAACTAATTATAAATTAACTTTTTATTTTATATATAAGTAATAAATACTAATAAAAAAAAGATCTTATATATAGTTATCGCCCTTAGTGAGCTTGCACTGAGCAGTTATCAGTCATTCAGACCGCTAGGATATAGATTGTTACCTTCTCACAGTATCTGGTGTGAGTAGTCGCTACAGCGATAAAACTAAACGAAATCCAGATGGTGGTATGGGTGAACGCGTGCGCTGCGTACACAAGTCGCCCGCGCGCATTAAACCAAGGGAATTGGCTTACGAAAACCATCTGACTCTTAAGTATCTGACTTGTACTTAGACCTGAAACTGACTCTACTATTAGTGGATGTGATATCGTTCTATTTGAGAGACAGGACACCCCTGTGCTTGTCCCCTCCTGAGATCATGTATTACGCGTGTAAATATAATGACTTGCTAGTAAGGAAAGGGAAATCCTTTAATACAATTATTAAGACTTATAAGCCTTATTAAGGCTAGAGTTATAGACTACCCTTAAGAATTATAAGCGAATTATCTTATATAAATAATTATACAAAATTATAAGTAGTTAAAGATACTAGTTTATTTAGAATAAGCTTGTATAAACTTATTAAAGCGTGACTATAAGTATATTATATAAGGGCATCTATTAAGATAATAGAGATATAAGCTTAATTAGTAAGTAAGGAATTAGTATATAGCTAATATATAAGTATTAAATGAATTACTTATAAGACATAATTAGTCTATATAAAGGAGACTTTTATAAATAACATAAAGTAAAGAGCTCTTTAGGCTTAACGTAAGATGTAATATATAATAGCGGCTACTAAGGAGACTGTCTGCACAGCCTAAGAGGACAGTATACATGTATTAATATATAAAGAGTCTGGGCTAGCTATCTCACTCGTACTAAGAGCCTACAAGGAGTGTGCGTTTTGCATACAAGTCAAAGCGATATCATTCTAGCTGAATGCTGGTGCTATATGCTTAAGGAATAAACTACAATTAGAGCGTGAGTAAGGGCTTCGTCTACCTGAACTCTGAAGCATCTCGCCTTGAACAGTAGATGCGGGAAAGCGTGGCAGAGACCTAGTAAAGAGATGTGAACTCTGTATTATATTATTTTATAAGGAAAAGCTACCTTAATTAATATAGAATAATATAATAAAATTATAAGAAATTATAATTAGACTAGTATATAATATTTATATAGCCTTTATATGTAGTACGCTTTTAACATAATATAAAGAATTAATTATAATAGTCTTACATAAAAAGAGCAAAAAGAATTACTTGCTGCCTAGCAGCTATAGGCTAATTGCCCTAGAGAATACGCTAGCAAAGATTATTAAGAAGGTCCTTATGACTCGCTTAAGTAATGTGGCAAAACAATACTCTCTGCTCCTTTAGACCTAGATAAGGGTAAAAAGGGACAGATCTACAGCTTCTGTAATAGGCCTGCTAACCTTATATGTTTAAACTATATAGTAGGCATAATCAAGGAATATAGTCTTAATGCTAAGCCTAGACCTCTTAAAGGCCTTTAATAACGTCTCTTATAATAAGCTACTAGATATCCTTAAGCAGAAGAGCCTCCTAGATTAACTTATTTAAGCAGTTATATACTTTTTATATGTAAGGCATATATATATTATATATATAGGATATAAAAGTGACTAGATTAAGACTAATATAGGCATTCTGCAAGGCTCTCCTCTTTTGCTAATCTTATTTCTATTCTTTATATCTGGCCTACTAGAATAGTTCTAAGACTCAGAAAAAGGAATACTAGAATTTAGCTTTATAGATAATATCTACCTAGTAATATAGAGTAAAAGCGCATAATAAAATTATTATAAGCTAATTCTAACTTATTCATAGTACTTCTATTTATAATACTAATGCTAGGCGGAAACATATAGTACTAAGTTTGCCCTTAATAAGTACTAGCTAATATACTTTATATAAAGTAGACACTATATATAAGAGGACCTTGTATTAATTATCTAAATAAGTGGCTATTAAGTAGCAGTTAAGAATAAGGTAATTAAAGTGCTAGGGGTATAGCTAAACCCTAAGCTTATCTAGAACAAATATATAATATATATAATTTATAAGAGTATTATAGCCTTTAAGGCCTTAGTAAAACTAGTTACCTTTATTTAGAGATTATTAATATATAACTTATAACTATTATATATAGTAGTAGTTAGGCTTACTCTATTATATAGTGTACAAAAGTAAGGTTTAAGTATATAAGGTATAAAGGAAGTATTAATAAAAACTATAATTAAATTACTTAAAAAGGTTTAGAATAATTATTTCTGCTATATTATAAGAGGATATAAGTAAATGCCTAAAGTAATATTTGCAATAGCTCGAAACTAGAACAAATCAATAGTCTATAGATTGCTAAAACGAAAGCTGGAGAATCTATCTACAATGTGGCCATGCACAGATTCATATACTCCAACGCCAGCGGGTGAGGCCTGTGTGTGCGTGGGCCACGCCATAGGCCACAGAGCATTCATAGTTCCTAATCCGGCCTCCTGCTGTATAGTGAAGTTTAGGCTTCCCTAATCGGGTAAGGCGAACCTCTCTATTCGTAATCCGTCCGGATAGCTCACACGCTTTGACAGTCTGATATTTAACTGTACATGTACAGCCAAATCTGTCACGTGACATCCTTATTAGATTTTCCGTACTCAGCCTCAAATCAACCAATTAGGCACCTCTTTCGCTGGGTGCCTTTCGAAATAGTCCCTGAGCAGGTCTTCAGAGCCCTTGAAGTTTGAGATAGGGTAATAGGTCAGGTCCTCTGGCCAGCCTACCCATCTTGCTCGTACCTTCCATGCTTTGCCCACTCTCTTGACGTCGACTATATCTTCGACCTCCCACGCCTCCTCTTCTTCTGTCTCTACTGGCAGAGGCTGTAAATACTCCTGCACCTGGCAGAGGGTCGGCAGGGTCCTTGGTCAGCAGTGATGCATAGAACACGTTGTGAATCCTCATTGATGAGGGCAGTTCTAAACGAAAACTCTGCTCAAGCCTCTTCACAACAGGGAATGGCCTAATCTATTTCGAATCGAGTTTCTTGCAAGGTCTTGTCGTGCTAATGTTCTTTGTTGATACCAGACCTTATCTCCTTCTTCGAAATCGATTTCCTAGCGATGCTTATTCGCCTGCTCTTGTTGCCGCAACTGCGCAGCCTTCAGATACTCCTGTGCCCACTTCCAACCCTTTTCCATTGGCCTTGCTAGGTTCTTAGCCTTCCCTAGGGCTACGCGTTTCCTTGCTGTCTCTGCAGACTCAGGCTCGTGCGACAGCTATATAGACTTAGATACTGCTATATTTGCAGCAAATTTAGCGCTTAAGAGAAGGTTATTCTAATTATCCTGTACAAAATCTATATAAGCCCTTAAGTATCATTCTATCTCTGCATTAGAGACTTTTGTCTAGCTATCTGTCTATAGATAGTAAGCTGTAGATAGCTTTGCTTTAACTCTTTCCTTGGCTGATATCTGCGTGTGATCATGAATGGCGACAGCTGTGTGGACTTAGACACTGCTGCGTTCGCAGCAAATTCGGCGCTTAAGAGAAGGTTGTTCTAATCGTCCTGTGCAAAATCTACATAGGCCCTCAGGTATCGTTCCATCTCTGCATTAGAGACTTCTGTCTGGCCATCTGTCTGTGGATGGTGAGCCGTAGATAGCTTCGCTTTGACTCCCAAGATTTGGCACCATTGTTTCCACACTTCGCTGGCGAACTGCGGCCCTCGGTCAGATACAATTGTCTGCGGAAGCCCATGGAGCTTCCACACGTTCCTGTACAGCATTTTGGCTGTCTCCTCCGAAGTCGTGCCCTCCTCTGCGGCTGTGCAAGGGATATAGTGGCGTTCCTTGCTTAGCCGATTAACAATCACTAGAACAGCGTTGTAGCCTTCTGATGTCGGCAATCCTGTGACGAAATCCATCGAGATATCCTGCCAGGGGCGCTCAGGAATTGGAAGAGGTTGCAACAGGCCTGCAGGAAGCTGATACACAGGTTTGGTCCTCCTGCAGACATGACAATTCCGCAAGAATCTCCCGACTAACGTGTATCTATTTGAGATGTAGTACCTACTATTCGCGATAGCCTTCCTTGTCTTTGTACGGCCTGAGTGCCCAGTCTCCTTGCTCTCGTGGATCTCTCAAATCACGTCTGTCACTATTGCTGCTGGTACTGCCAGTTTTTCTCTGTACCACAGCACTTCTTCCTTGTCTTCACAATTTTGAATGTTGTACCCAAATATTTTCTTCTTTGGGTTCTCCACTTGTTTCTCCATCCTAATCGCGTTGAACGTCTCGTCAACCCGATTCTCTTTCTCTACCCTCTTCCAGAGCGGCAAATCTTCCTCCTCTGGCAACGCCTACACTACCGAGATCTTCAGGTCGTCTTTCACCTCCTCGGACAGCATGTTTTATTGCAGAAGGGTCTGATGCAGATTAGGATCCTCCTTCGCTCTTGGGATCTCAGTTTCCCTTCGAGTCAATACGTCAGCTTTTCCGTTGGCAGCTCCTGGGCGATATCCGATCTTAAAGTTGTATTGAGATAATAACTCCGCCTAGCGTGCTTGCCGACGTGTCAGCTTCTTCGTTGACATGAAATACTCTAGAGCCTTGTGATCTATGAGTATTTGGACAGGATCCTCTCCTAGCGAGCGTAGCTCCGGCGACCATTCCTCAAAACAACGGATAATAGCCAGCAGTTCCTTGTCGTAAATCGCGTAATTACGCTCTGCTGGTGCCATACTTGTTAAGAAGAATGCCACAGGATGAAGTTCTCCATCCTCCCCTTGTTACGAGAGCACTCCACCAACTGTATGGTCGCTCGCGTTGCACTCCACAACCGTCTCCTTCTCAGGGTCGAAATGAGCGAGGACTGGCTCCTTCGAAACGAGGTCCTTTAGAGCCTGGAACGCCTCAGTACAGCGGTTATCCCAGGTGCGCCCTGCATCCTTCTTTAACAGGTCATTCAGCAGCCTTGCTACCTTGCTGAATCCTAAGCAGAATCGTCGATAGAAGTTGACAAACCCCAGGAATCTCCGTACCGCGCGGACATCTCCTGGGTTGGGTTTCTCCCACTCCCGAATGACTCGTACGCGCTCTGGATCCATCTGAATGCCCTCTGGAGTCACGATCAACCCGAGATACTTCACTGACTACGTATAGAACTCGCTTTTCTTAATGTCAGCCTGAATATCACTTTCGCGGAGAATCTGTAAGACCTCTCGTACGTGTTGCTTGTGTTCTTTTCTCGATTAGCTGAAGATCAAGATGTCATCTAGGTACAGCACAACGAATTTTCCAAGCACCTTCATAAATTTCTCGTTCATGAAGCGTTGGAACGTCGCTAGCGCAGAGATTAATCCGAACAACAGTACCCTATATCAGTAGTTGCCATACGCAGTGCTAAACGTGGTAAGTTCGCAGTCCTTCTTAGTCGCCAAACGAATCCGGTAATATGCCTGTCAAATATCCAGCTTAGAGAAGACTATAGCTTTTCTAAGAAGACTCATGGTCTCGTTAATCCGAGGGATGGCGTAGCTATTCTTCTTTGTAATAGCGTTCAGATCCCTAAAATCGACACAGAAACAGAGTCCCCCTTAGGGTTTCTGTACCAGAAGAATTGGCGATGCGAACAAGGCGGTGCTTGGTTCAATGAACCTCTTCTCAAGATGCTCCTTGATGTATTTCTTGACCACCTTGAGCTCATCTGGGCTCATCCTACGCAAGGGCTGCGTTCGGGGCAGTTCGGCACCTGCTTCCAGTTCGATCTTGTGGTCATACTCCTCCCTGTGCTCTGGAAGAGTATCAGAAACCTCCTTCGAGAAGACATCTGCGAATTCTCGAAATTCCACTAGAAGAACCTCCTTTGGATCTAGTTCTGGCTGGATCTGTTTCTTAATATGTTCATTTATGTCCTCTATCATGATAGCAAACATTTCTGCACCAGGGGTGATTAATAATCGCTCGAATGCTACGATGCTCACAGGCTCAGTGCTGTGCTGGGCTGCCCTGGCCTCCTTGACCTTCCTTCTGTGGGTGGTAGCTGTGGTTGTCCTGCTACCCAGAGTCTTCTCTACCTTAACAGGGCGTAGAGGTCATGAAACGGCTGGGGCTGTTTTAGGACGCTTAAGAATCTTCGTCACCTGTAATAGCAATGCCCTGATTAGGTTAGCCTGAAATTTGGCTGTACATGTATAGCTAAATTCGTTACTGATCAGGTTAGCCTGAAATTTGGCTGTATATGTACAGCCAAATTCGTCACGTGGCTTCTTTATCAGCTCTTCCTCTGCTGCTTGCTCCTCGGCCCTGGGCTCGTTACTCTGACTCTTGCAGTTCTGCTAGAATGTAAGTTGCTCTTCACAATCGTAATCCCTTACAAACTTTACTGACAAATCCCTGGGATCTGGAATGCAGCTGTGCAGCCTCATCCACTTCTTCCCCAAGATCATAAGGTACGCAGCCTTTGTCATATAGAAGATCTGCGATCCCTGCTAGTGTTCGCCAACGCGTATAAGCAAATAGAGGGCCTGAGAGATGGATTAATAGATCTCACTAGCAAAATCAGAAATAGGAATAGGTTTGTGACTCTTGCAGTTCTGCTAGAATGTAAGTTGCTCTTCACAATCGCAATCCCCTGCAAACTTCACTGACAAATCCCTGGGATCTGGAATGCAGCCGTGCAGCCTCATCCACTTCTTCCCCAAGATCATAGGGTACGCAGCCTTCGTCACATAGAAGATCTGCAATCCCTGCTGGTGTTCGCCAACGCGTATAGGCAAATGGAGGGCCTGAGAGATGGATTGATGGATCTCACCAGCAAAATCAGAAATAGGAATAGGTTTGGCCAGGTCTACCATATCAATCTGCAACCTTTCACAAAGTTGTTCTGCTAATTGATAATCTATAACCGCGCTCAACCGACATCCTGTATCTAACAGTGCTGATACCGTCAATCTTTCTCTCCCCCTCCCAACGCTGACGTCAACCAGAAATGCTATAGCTTCTCCACTGGTTGCGTTGCTGGGCCCGCTCACGACGTCAGACAGCATTACGCTGAACGAACTCGAACACAAGTAAGAGACTATCACTTAGAGCCTAACATAAGAAGAAATCAAAAACAATAAGGATGTTAAGGGATTTAATTTAAAAAGGGCAGAACCTGCTAAAGTTAAGAAACCTTTTGCTATAGTTTTAGATTACTGTATTTAGCAAGAACCTTACAGACACTTTTTATGCTTAGATTAGTTATACCCCTACTATAAAGAGTACAAGGGACATATATATTTTAAGAATTATACTAAGGAAGAAAGAGAAAGTTTAATTATTCATCTAGTAGTAAATATTAAGGAGGTGCGAACTCTTTACTATAAGACACTTAGATGCTAGATTATAGGAATGTATATTTATAAGGCACCAGAAGAGTCAAAAAACTAGAAAGTCCTTTAAAAAGACAACCTAAAAAACGCGAAAAAAGGTTATAAATAATCATAATATTAAACGTATATTACTTATAATATATAATATTATATATACTTTTGAATAACAAGAAGGCAAAAATTATAATGGATTTAAGAGCTACGCTATAAAGAACTACATCTTACAAGAGTATATACTTTAGAATTAAACTCTTACTAGGGATAAAGAGAATCCTTACTAGCTAAGGCTAGCTGATAGATTACTTATTAAAGAAGGATAAGGACAGATTACTACAGAAACATAATTATTAAGATTACAGATTAAGGATTATTACAAAGAAATAGTAATAGATATTACTTAGATTAAATATAACGTTATACTAAAGAAACCCTAATTAATATATTATAACCTAGTAATTAATTAAAAGTTATATATGCTAATATTCTATAATTATAAGTGTGAGATATCTAATATACAGGCACACTTTACTAAGGCTATATAGATATAATCTATAACCTTAGAAGCTTTAGACAGTCTTAATAATTACCTATTAGAATATAAAGAATTTAAGGAATTATTTAAGGAAGACAAGGAAAGTATAGTCTTACTTAAATATTAATCTTAAAACTATAAGATATCTTTAGAACTTAGAACTAAACTAGTATTTAAACTAATATATTAATTTTTAGAAAGAGAATTAAAGAAAACTAGAGAATATCTAAATAAAAACCTTAAAAAAGGATTTATTAGACCTTTAATATCTCTAGCTAGTTACCTAATATTGTTTGTACTAAAACCTAACGGAAAGTTAAGGTTATGTATAGACTATAAATAGCTAAATGCAATTATAATCAAGAATTGATATATATTACTACTTATCTTAGAACTCTATAACAAAATTCGCAAAGCAGAATAGTTTATAACGCTTAACTTATAAGGAGTATATAATCTAGTCAGAATAAAGGAAGGAGAGGAATAAAAGACCGCGTTTTATACATAATATAGCTATTACAAATATCTTGTTATATTATTTAGGTTAATAAATATACCCGCAATATTCTAAGCCTTAGTTAATAATGTCTTAAGAGAATTCTTAGACATTTTTGCTATAATATATCTTAATAATATCCTTATCTACTTAAAAACAGAAGAGGAATATAAGAGCTATATAAAGCAAGTGCTTTGTGCTTTAAAGAAGGCACATCTCCTAATTAAACTAGAGAAATATAAATTTTATAAAAAGAAAGTGAAGTTCCTAGGTTATATTCTAATTATAAGTAGAATCCAGATAAACGAATCTAAAGTTAAGGTAGTATAAGACTAACCTTAACTAAAGAATATTAAGGAAATATAATCTTTCCTTAGATTCGTGAACTTTTATAGGAGGTTTATTAAAGGGTACTCAAAGATTATAGCACTACTAACTTTAATGACTAAGAAAGATTAACTCTTTTATTAGGGAATAAAAGCAAAGTTTTTATTCTAGAAGTTAAAGAGACAATTTACGTCTGCTTTTATACTTATGACATTTGACTTAGAGAGGCAAATAATCCTGAAAATAAATATATCAGACTATGTTATAGGAATATGTATAAGTTAACTAAATAACAAAGGACGACTAAGATCAGTTGTCTTTTACTTAAGAAAGATAATTCTAGCGGAACTTAACTACAAGATCTATAATAAGGAACTCTTAGCTATTATAATAGCATTTAACAAATGACATATATATTTAGAAGAATCTAAGTACTTAGTAAAGGTATATATAGATCATAAGAATCTACTTTACTTTACTACAACTAAGGAACTTAATAAGAAACAGATTAGATAGTCAGAAACATTATCAAGATATAACTTTGAGATCTTTTATAAAAAAGGGAATAATAATATAAAAGCAGACGCGCTTAATAGATATATAGACTACTCTAAGAATACTAAAGCACTACCTAGATTAATACTATAATTAAACTTAGACAAATTA